TGTTCCCTGATCAGCTGGACAGCTCAGTTGGTTAGAGTATGATGCTGATGATGATGCCAAGGTTGCAGGTTTGATCCCCGTTTGGGACACTTGCATATTCCTGCCATGCAGGGAGTTGGACTGAAAGATCCTCAAGGTCCCTTCCAAATCTGTGATTCTATGGTTCTCCTATCAAAACAGCTCTCACAGTCAGAAAGTTCTTCCTAGCTGGAATCTCCTTTCCTATGATTTGAATCCGCTTGTTCAGGTCCTTGCTTTGGAGCAGCGGAAAACCAGCTTCCCCACAACCCCATTTGACAGCTCTCCAGAGATCCTGGAAGATGACTCTCACCTCTTGGTCTCCTCTTCTCCAGGCTAAACATACCCAACTCCCTCAACCATTCCTCATAAGGCTCGGTTTACGTGTCAGTAACATGACACAGTCTTTGGGACCTCAGCTACTTCCAGTTGGGCTGAGCGGAGTTTCTGATTCCTCGCCCCGTCTGCACACCCCGTGCTCTGCGGGGCGACAGGATGGCCGAATGTAGCTGGGGGGGGGGGTTTGAGCTGAGAGCTTAGAAGGGAGGGAGACCAGCCACCTTCCTGTGTGCACAGAAATAGCATTCAATCTCTTCTGCAGCAGGCTCTCTCTGGTTCCAAAATGTTGGGGATATTGAGGGTTAAAGAGACACGCGTTTCTGACACTGTGCGTTAAACAATTGGCTCAACCTCTAGAGTTAAGTGGACGCGGGTGGCTCTGTGGGTTAAACCACAGAGCCTAGGACTTGCTGATCAGAGGGTTGGCAGTTCGAATCCCCGCAACGGGGTGAGCTCCCATTGCTCGGTCCCTGCTCCTGCCAACCTAGCAGTTCTAAAGCACATCAAAGTGCAAGTAGATAAATAGGTACCACTCAGGCGGGAAGGTAAACGGCGTTTCCGTGCGCTGTTCTGGTTTGCCAGAAGTGGCTTAGTCATGCTGGCCACATGACCTGGAAGCTGTACGCCGGCTCCCTCAGCCAGTAAAGCGAGATGAGCGCCGCAACCCCAGAGTCGGTCATGACCGGACCTAATGGTCAGGGGTCCCTTTACCCTTTACCTAGAGTTAAGTACGTAAGGAGGCAAGCAGCTGGGACATGGCTGGTTGGTGTATCAGAGTAGATCTGGTGGGACACACTTTTCAGGGACAGAGGGAGCAATGCCCCTGCCTCCTTCCTCAAAGGCAAGGCTGGAATTGAAAATGGGATTATAGCATTGTGGGTGGGTGATGGGGCATATTCGCCATCCTGGCAATTTGAAAAGGAGCCTTGAAAGAGACATCAGTTATCTTAAATTTAGACTCCCAATTTACATTTTTGCAAAAACGAGCTGGCGTTGAGAAACCCAAGGGCAATAGAAACGTATTTCTCAGACCGAGATCCAAAAAAATAAATAAATCAGCGTGAATAGCCTGAAAGTAAAACTGGCCGGGAGCCAGTGGGAAAACCAATTTGGTTAGTGTTTTTCCTCTCCTCCCCAAATTCTTGAGACTGAAAGGAGAAGAGAGAAGAAAATAAGAAATCAAAAGAGCTGAATTCAGAGGGAGGGGAGAGGCATGCGGAAGCCCTGTGTGGGAAAGTTTTATACTGCATTTCATTTTGTTTCTTTCAATACAGCTGCATTTCTTCCCAAGCACCTAACTCGGATTGCACATAGCATCCTACAAATAATTGAGTGGACACGATCCGCCGGGGCGTCTTTTGCACAAGCCCTTGGAAATTGCTGGGACTTGTGCGAGTCTTGCTTTTCGGCCCGTGTTGCTTCTAAAGAAGAATAAAGTTTAGGACAACTTATGGCACAAACAGGGAGGTGTTAGGGAGCAAGACACCGAATCCCTAGTTCCTCTAAACTTCCCCAAAAGCACATGTTTGAAGTAGAACCACTGTTTGGGGGATGCCTCATCTTAAGACTATTTTGACACGGAGCCTCGGGACGACTGGGCTGCCATGTTCCGGGGCCTTCTGTTGTGTTAAAAAAAGCGAGTGGCGAAAGCGGACGAGATTGCTAGCCTGTCGTATCGCTTGCTTGTTTTGCTTCTTGTCTGCTGCGTGGATGCCTTGGAAATGCAAACATTTCCCTGACTGCAAAGGCATTTCGCGGCTCGCTTGCCATGAGGCCAGTGACGCTGGGGTGCTTTGAGCCTGGCTGTTCAGTTCGTGGAAAACAGGATCGCGTTTCGCCATGCCTGTCTCTAGTAAACACATTGCTCGCCTTTCTGGAAGCGGCTGTGACTCAATACAAGGCCAACTTTGTACGTTCCTTGGGCGGGGGGAGGAAGAGGGGGCGATAATGCAGCGGTACAGCAACATGTGCAGCCTCCAGAAGGGCTCCAGGTCCTCAGTATCTCCAGTTACAAGGCTCAGGGGAGGGTCCTTACCTGCCCAAGACCCCAGAGAGCCACAGTAAACCATGCGGAGGTGGAGGAGCCCTGACTGTAAAAGGCAGCGTCGAATGTTCATACTTGGCGGTTTGGAAAAGCACCAAAGTATGTTTGACCTCCTTTGCAGCGTTGCTGGAATTCTGCAAAGTCACTGTCTTCCTTGAGCTTGCAATGAATTGCTGGTTGGCTTCAAAATTCAGGGAAGCGATTTGCACACGTTTCTGCTGAGCGGCCCCCAACATGCCTGTGGGCACATTGCGGGCCATGCTCAGTGCACACAGTTCCAGTGGCGTGCTGGGGTAAAGGGGCTCGCTTTTGCTCCCTCCCCGCCCCAAATCCTGAGCTAGAACACCCCCAAGACTCTCCTGCGGCTGCAGATGGATGTCATGCCTTTGGAGAAATTTTGTGCGACGTTTTAAGACATCGTTTCTAAAATGAGGCATCCTAGGGCTAATGCCCTGATCTTCTGGAAGTTAGGCATGCTTACCTGTGGTGTTTCGGCTGCTGTTACTTATGGGTTCAGGGCAGCAGGTTTGAGTGCTGGCATGGAAAAGAGAATGTGGAACTGAGCCCTGGCTCAAGCTGTAGCCCAGGGGTCGGCGAGGTTTACCTCATCTGGATCGGTTCACTCCAGCGGAGAGCCCTCCATGGGCCGGATCCCTCATGCGTCCACGATTTCTGGTGTCTGTGCAGACACAATTTCTGGTGTCAGCATGTGCAGACACAATTTCCAGCACTGCGGAAGCGAGTCCTTGCGCCACGCTGCACCAGTTTAGCACAGCACGTGGGGACTCACCGAGTGGGTGGCTTGGTTTGGGGGTGGCTTGTGGGCCAGTTAAATGACCCCCATGGGCTGCTTGTGGCCCATGGGCCTTAGGTTGCCTACCCCTGCTGTAGAACTTCAGCCTTGCAGTCCCAGTTTGGTTATGTGAAAAGGTCACCTGAACAGGGGAGCTTTTATGCACATCTCTGTATGTGCAGCTGCCATTCATTTCAGGGGGACCTCATGCAAATGATGGTCCTGATGTATTTACCTGGTAAAGTTTCCTCCAGGCCATATGCTCTTATCCAGTTTCTGGAAAGGGTTGATTCAGGACTGCTGGGATTTGCTCCCCCCCCCCGAATCTACTCTAACAATGCAGGTTCCTAGTCCTCATTTGTTAAGAGTTTGAAACCAGGAGGCGGTGCCCGTGAAAGGTTCAGGCAGTGTTTCCAAATGGTTACAAACCCTTTTAAATATCAGAGTTCAAAATGAATCCCATAACTTTGGTGATTGCTTTGCAAACAGTGGTTTAATAATTTGCACGACACATTCTGACCGAGGAAGTTGAAGCTTTTTAGTCAGAGCTTTTTAAATTCTTTGCATCTGTTCTCCCAACACATGCTTCAGATATTGTATTCTGGGGTGGGGTGGGGGAACCACTCAGCTTTTGTTTGAGAAATGCCTAGCCCCTTATATTGATGTCTACCACTTAACAAAAGTTGCAGGTAACTGTGTTGGTCTATTAGGAAAGCAAACAGATATTCCCACAAAACAACAAGAGGATAATGTCTTTATTATCTCACAAAGGGAAAGTTGCTCAGGTGAACTTCATTGGGCATTCAAATCATGCATAAGAGGGCTGTTTGAGCCTGACAGTACATTGACCATGCATTGGGCAAGTGTGAGAATCCTAGAATTGTGGAGTTGGAAGGGACCTCTGAGGGTCATCTGAGGGTCATTTCCTAATAGACCAACCAATTGTGGAGTTGGAAGGGACCTCTGAGGGTCATCTAGTCCAACCCCCTGAGATGCAGGAATCTCAACTAAAGCATCTCTGGCAGATGGCCACCTAACCTCTGCTTAAAAACCTCCAAGGATGGAGAGTCCACCGTCTACCTCCTGAGGGAGTCTGTTCCACTGTTGAACAGTTTTTAGTGTCAGAAAGTTCTTCCTAGTGTTTAGAGTCCATTGGTTCGGGTTCTCGGGAGCAGCAGAAGACTAACTTGCTCCATCTTGCATGTGACAGCGCTTCAGTTATCTGAAGGTGACATAACAGCCCTTATCTTAGCAACACTGGGGATGAGTTTTGAGGGTGTGTTGATACCTTAACATTAGTAAAGGTAAAGGGACCCCTGACCATTAGGTCCAGTCGTGACCGACTCTGGGGTTATGGCGCTCATCTCGCTTTGTTGGCCGAGGGAGCCGGCGTACAGCTTCCGGGTCGTGTGGCCAGCATGCCTAAGCTGCTTCTGGCGAACCAGAGCAGCGCACGGAAATGCCGTTTACCTTCCCGCCAGAGTGGTACCTATTTATCTACTTGCACTTTGACGTGCTTTCGAACTGCTAGGTTGGCAGGAGCAGGGACCGAGAAACGGGAGCTCACCCCATCACGGGGATTCGAACCGCCGACCTTCTGATCAGCAAGTCCTAGGCTCTGTGTTTTAAACCACAGCGCCACCCATGTCCCACCTTAACATTGCCAAGTGCTTAACCTGGTTAACAATAATGGCTTTGTTTCATTTCCGCAACACCCTCTCCCTGCCAGGTAGGCCAAAGAGCTCGCCAATATTCGAACGCAGGACTGTTTTGAGACTAAACCTCTTGCTTCTGTTTGCTTGCTAGGCCCAGTCGGTTCTCCAGAGCTCTCCTCCTGAAATCGCTTCCCAAGAGACAACATTCCTTTTTCGACTGTGGGATCCAGAACTGAGCAGCAGACTCCAGGTAAATCCTTGCCAGAACTGAAATCTGCAGTGCTGATTAACTATTGCATCTTCTGATCTGCATAAGGAACAGCTAATACGATGTATTGGTTTAAAGGCTTGAGAAACTGGGTTCAAATCCTCACGCACCCTCAAAAAATCACCGCCTGATCTTAGGCCAGTCCTGATTTTGGGCCAGTCCTGATTTTGATCTTGCAGCCTCTCCTACCTCGAAGGGCTGTTGTGAGGCTAAAAGAGGCGATCCCTCAGATTCCTGGAGGAAAGGCAGGATAGAACTGTCAAAGACGGTTGCATGGGATTATTGAGTGTGGACCTCCATGTCAAACAAAATTCCTTCCGTTAAAAAAACTGCACATCAGGGAGAAGGCTGAGAGCAAGAGAACGCATTTCCCTGACACCCGACTTTTCCGTGTCCTTGCATCACACGCTACTCTCTCGTTTGCTTTTCGGTCCAAGGTTGAATGTTTTCGTTTCTGCTGTTCTGGTAGCTTTGTGGCCCTGGCAAAGGTGGTTTGGGGTCAGCAGAGCGGCTTTACAATGTGTGTGTACACAAAAACCCTCTCCGAAGTGATGGAGCATTGATTTGTTCAAAGGCTTGCCTTTTTCCACGGCTCTTGTTGCCCTTCCTTTGCTACGCTTCTCTCTCTCTTCTTTCGCTCTTTAGTAAAGTAAATAATGCATGCAGGATGCAAACGAGGGCTGAAATTTTAGAAGGGCTGACCCAACACATTACTGCAGATCAATCCTTTCGGTTACGCGAAGCACTTCTTTAGAGGAGGAAAGGAACTCTGGTTTCGAGAAAAGCGCTGGGGTTTATTTTGGGACTCGGTTTAGCTGCTTCTCCCTGCATCTGGGGCAGAGGGGCGAAGATTCCTCGTCAACAAACAACAAGCGCCGCTTGTGCCACTGGCCCCATTCCCTCGCGCTGCCCAAATTCATACCTTGGAACCGTTAGGGTGCAAAGCCAGGGGCGCCCCCAACCTTTTTGCTCCTGGTGAGAATGCAAAGAAGGGAGGGAATAATCTGCACCCGGGTCCTGGAATTGTGCATGCCACTTCCTGTACTTAGAATCATAGAATCATAGAGTTGGAAGAGACCCCAAGGGCCATCGAGTCCAACCCCCTGCCAAGCAGGAAACACCATCAGAGCACTCCTGACATATGGTTGTCAAGCTTCTGCTTAAAGACCTCCAAAGAAGGAGACTCCACCACACTCCTTGGCAGCAAATTCCACTGTCAAACAGCTCTTACTGTCAGGAAGTTCTTCCTAATGTTTAGGTGGAATCTTTTTTCTTGTAGTTTGGATCCATTGCTCCGTGTCCGCTTCTCTGGAGCAGCAGAAAACAACCTTTCTCCCTCCTCTATATGACATCCTTTTATATATTTGAACATGGCTATCATATCACCCCTTAACCTCCTCTTCTCCAGGCTAAACATGCCTCCCTTAGTCGTTCATTGCAAACTTTGGTTCCTTCCATCACTGAGCATGCCAGCGTCTTTGCAGCGCCTTTCAGGATGAGACTTTCCTTCCTTGGGTGCATTTCCAGAAGCCTCCTGAGTTTGCCTGTCTAATATATCCCCAACCTCACTATCCCTGTACCAAATTTGGTTTGCAGCAGGGATGGCTCATTGTGGAAGGCTGCCTGCCTGGGCTGGCAAAATACCAGCACCCCAGTCCCCCCTTTTCATAAAATTTATATAAAAGGTAAAGGGACCCCTGACCATTAGGTCCAGTCGTGGACGACTCTGGGGTTGTGGCGCTCATCTCGCTTTACTGGCCGAGGGAGCCGGTGTACAGCTTCCGGGTCATGTGGCCAGCATGACTAAGCCGCTTCTGGCGAACCAGAATTGCGCACGGAAATGCCGTTTACCTTCCCGCCGGAGTGGTACTTATTTATCTACTTGCACTTTGATGTGCTTTCGAACTGCTAGGTTGGCAGGAGCAGGGACCGAGCAACGGGAGCTCACCCCGTCGCAGGGATTCGAACCGCCGACCTTCTGATCAGCAAGTCCTAGGCTCTGTGGTTTAATCCACAGCTCCACCCGCGTCCCCATAAAATTTATACTCGATTGTAAATAAAAAATAATCTGAAACAACTTCCAAATGGATCACAAAAAGATTAAACAAGAAAATAAAGGGAAAATGGCAACAGTGGTTTAAAATATATAAGAAGTTAAAATGCTTAAAGCAGGTTAATCTCCCAGCAGCTTCCTAAGCATTTGGAGAGGCTTGTTTAAACAATAATGTTTTTAGCAAGTGCCAAAAAGAATGCAGCGAAGGGGCCTTCCTGGTGTCAATTGGCAGGGAGTTCCAAAGGTGCTGCCACACTGAAAGACTTGAGTTCTGAAGGTGTCTGCGTATTGGGGGAGGGGAATGCATTGCCTCCCTCTCTCTTCTTTCTCTTCGAAATTCTCCCTGTATTGTCGTTTAAACCCGCTGCTCTCTTTTTCTGATATTAATATTTTATTGGAAGAATTCCCTGTATAAAAAGAAAGAGTGATTAAAAGGAAAAGGAAGGAAGAAAAACACGGATGAAAATAGAAATGAAGGGAAAATGTTCAATACGTATGTGTTTAGTCCTATTATCCTGATAGAAATATATTTATCAGTAACCTAATATATTCTGTGTAAAGTCATTCCAAATATCGTTATATTTATCCAAAGAAAGGTTGCATCTGTATGCAGTCCGTTCATACGTTGCTAATATTGTCATATTGTCAGGCCGTTGATGAAGAATATTAAAAACACGATAAAACATCAAACATTAAAAACTTCCCTAAACAGGGCTGCCTTCAGATGTCTTCTAAAAGTCAGATAGTTGTTCATTTCCTTGACATCTGCTTGGAGGGCGTTCCACAGGGCAGGGGCCACCACCGAGAAGGCCCTCTGCCTCGTTCTCTATTCTTCTAGTTCACCAGTTTCAATCTCTTAGCCATCATTACTGGAACCACAGTGCCGCCAGCAGCAACCGGCCTGCCTATCAGCCTTCTCTCCCAAGATCATGAGGACCAGAATCTTGACTTTTATAAAAGGGCCGGTTGTCTGAATGCCGTTCTGTGCTGATCTGAGCTCGTGCTGGGCGGCTCTTCCTGTTCCGTCTATAGCTCCCCAGACTCGGGAAGCTAAGATGACGGGGAGAATTGTTTGTTGGAGGCAGACGCAGCTGTTATCTAAGCCCACTTAGCCTCAAAAACAAGTCCTTGAAGAGTCTGCCTGCAGCAGTCTGAATGTTTTCAGCTGTTTGAGCTGCTCCCCGGTCAGACAAAAGCAATCTGTTGCCTCTTCTATAAAGGGAGGTTTAAGAGCGGAGAGTCTCAGGCTTCGAGAAAGGGGCTTTGGAAATGATGGTTATTTATAAAACCGAGAACGGTGTGGAAAGGATGAATTCCGGGGCCAATTCTACTGACTCTCACAACACCCCTTTGTATCAATCACCCGCTGACTGGCAGCAAGCCTCGGGTGAGCAGGTCCACACACAAGGCATAAACCCGAGGAACGGATTGCCGCAGGCGTGTTGTGGTAGCTGCCGGCAAAAGCGCTTTGGGGGAGAGAAGAAAATATCAGAATGAAGAAAGGATTAGGCAACTTCACAGAGGTTTGATAGAACCTCCATAGCCAGAGGCAGTTGAGCTTAAGTTACCAAACGTCAGGGACAAACAGGAGGAGATGCAGGAAAATTTCCTGCAGGCATTTTCTCTATTCTTACTTAAACTGTCTTTGGGAAACTAGGAAGGTGCCTTATAGTGTGTATGACCATTGCTACATCTAGCTCAGGCATCCCCAGACTTGGCCCTCCAGCTGTTTGGGGACTACAACTCCCATCATCCCTAGCTAGCAGGACCAGTGGTCAGGGATGATGGGAACTGTAGTCCCAAAACATTTGGAGGGCCGAGTTTGGGGATACCTGATCTACCTCAATATTATCCATCCTGACTGACAGTGACTGGCATGATTGATCCTTCCCAGCCCTACCCAGAGACCACTGAATCAGAGAATTGCAGAGTTGGAAGGGAACCCCTAAGGTCATCCAGTCCAACCCCCCTGCAACGCAGGAATTTCAGCTAAAGCATCCCTGACAGATGGCTAGCGGATCTCTGCTTAAAAACCTTCAGTGGAGGAGAGCCCATCACTTCTCTGCTTTCCTGACTGGGGCTAATGGTTGTTGTATCTCACAACTGGATAAGAGTGGTGGACTCGTAATCTGGTGAACCGGGTTCGCTTCCCCGCTCCTCCACCTGCAGCTGCTGGGTGACCTTGGGCCAGTCACACTTCTCTGAAGTCTCTCAGTCTGTTCTCAGAGTGTTTGTTGTGGGAGAGGAAGGGAAAGGAGATTGTCAGCTGCATTGAGACTCCTTCGGGTAGTGATAAAGCGGGATATCAAATCCAAACTCCTCTTCCAAACTCCAATGTGCCCTATGCTTGGCTTCCCTTGGGCTGAGTCCGGAAGCTGCAGTCAGTGCAGAATGCTGCAGCACGATTGCTGACAGGAGCGAATCCTTGTCCACATGTGACACTTGGGCTCAGATTTGTGACTGGGCCAAGTTCAAGTGCTTATTCTTAGTCTATAAAGCCCCTAACAACTTGGGGCCAGTTAACCTGCAAGATCTCTTTCCCCCATATTTTCCCCACTCGATAACTTCAGTTGGAACAACTGGCTGGATAATCCTTGCTCCGCTTTTGTAAGAACTCAGTCTTGCAGCACCTTAACTTTGGAACTCCCTGCCTATTGATATCAGGGAGGCCCTTTCCCTGTATTCTTTTCAGCGCCTGCTAAAGGATTTTTCTGTAGGCAAGCCTACCAGATATTCGGAAAGCTGATGCCCTTTTTAACCTGCTTTTAGTCATTTTAGAGGGATGCGGGTGGCACTGTGGGTTAAACCACAGAGCCTAGGACCTGCCAATACGAAGGTTGGCAGTTCTAATCCCCACGACGGGGTGAGCTCCCATTGCTCGGTCCCTGCTCCTGCCAACCTAGCAGTTCGAAAGCACGTCAAAAGTGCA